TACTAGCATCTATGCAGAAAAGGGTGTCTGCTTGATTGATGATGGCTGAGGTTGACGGCAAAAAAGGGGTAAAATTTCGAGCAATGGTTTAAACTGAACTGAATGACGACTAAGGACTGAGTCACGACTCTCGCTTTAAGTTAATTTAAATGTGTNCTTTGCTCACTAGCATCTATGCAGAAAAGGGTGTCTGCTTAATTGATGATGGCTGAGGCTAAAAGCGGCCAAAAGGGGTAAAATTTTTAGCAATGGTAGTTTGAGCTGAATGACGACTAAGGACTTAGTCACGATTTGCTTTCTGAGTGAAATCAAAAGTGTTTGATGTGTCCTGTGCTTAAGCTGAAGATGAGCTCATTAGTAGTAGGTCATCCGGAAAGAAGCCCCCTTTTTCAGTGGTGACAACGACCACAAAGGTCTGAAAAGAGGGACAGCACCGGCAAAAAAATGACTGAATCAGTGAAAGTAGCGTCTGCCGCTTAGGGGAAAATCCTCCTCCTCCTCTTGCCGATTTTGGGTTCAACACGAGGTGATTCAGAGAGAGAGAGAGAGAGAGAGAGAGAAAAAGAAAGGCAGACAACGTCCTTTTTGTGTNTCCTCCTCCTCCTCTTGCCGATTTTGGGTTCAACACGAGGTGATTCAGAGAGAGAGAGAGAGAGAGAAAAAGAAAGGCAGACAACGTCCTTTTTGTGTCCCCTTCTTGTACAGGCGCTCACAGTAAGATTACCTACTACTACTAATTTTTTACAAAGAAGGAAAAAAGACGAGCCAGTCGGTCTGTCTCTCTCTCTCTCTCTCTCTCTCGCTCTCACGAAACCCTTCAGGGCAGTCAATTTGATTGCCCGTCGGAGATGAGCACTTAAATTGACTGCTGCTGCTGCCGTACAATGTACGACAAGGTACTTCTGACAGTACTTCTGCTTGTCTGTCTGCTTACAGGCGTGTATTGCACACCTCGGCGTTCATTCATCAAAAAAATCTCGAGTCAGTGGTGGCATTCAATGCAAAGGGTGATGGGCAATCATCATCATCATCATCAGCATCATCATCTTCTCCTTCTCCTTCATCTTCTTCAGCGATGACCACCACCGCCAATTGCAGCCATTTCCGATTGCAGTTTGTCTTTCAGAGCTGCTGCTGCTGCTGTCGTTCATGTTATTAGCCCTTGTGTTATCTCTCTCTCTCTCTCTCCTCTTATTCTTTTGTCTGATTAACTAATACTGAATGAACGATGAATGAACAAAATGTGGCGACGGTGGGTTACCCTCGAGACGAGCAACTGTCACTGACCAATGATAACGACGACGACGACGACTACAGTGGTAGAAGTAGTTTTTGCTTTATTATTAGCCAAAAAGAGTTATGTAGTCGAGGGTGGTGGTGGAGGAGTAGCCGCCTAACGACTGAGTCAATAGTGAATTAACTTTTTTTGGCTGCTTTAATCACCGATTAATCTTTTTCTCAGTCTTTTCCAGTACCACCACCACCACTACTTTACAACTTTTGTAATGTTTAGCCCACTGGTCACTACTCAGATAATGGCCGCCTGGATAATGATCGTACAGCAGCAGCAGCAATTTTCTTCTTCTTCTTTTTTTGTGGTCAATGTGCGCTTGATTGATTTTTTTTTCAAAATTTAAAAAAACAAGTCAGAAGTGCCGTGTCTTTTGCACTAAAATGCGCACAAACAAACGGAAGCACTTGTTTTGTCCATTGGCAGTTCATCTTCAGCCTGCGCAGCTGACTTTGTCTGATAAGAGGGAGAGATGTGATGAGCAATTTGGAAGCAATTTGCAGTGTGTGTGTTTTCCTTCCTTGCTTCAATGTCATTATCACGGAAACGTTTTAGAAGTAGACATCAGGGGTGGTATTAGGCTGATGTTGACGCTGTGGATGCCAGTGCAGTANGAGAGATGTGATGAGCAATTTGGAGGCAATTTGCAGTGTGTGTGTGTGTGTGTGTGTTTTTGTGTGTCTTCCTTCCTCCCTTCCTTGCTTCAATGTCATTATCACGGAAACGTTTTAGAAGTAGACATCAGGGGTGGTATTAGGCTGATGTTGACGCTGTGGATGCCAGTGCAGTAGCCGTGACAGTGAGAGAAGAAAAAAACAAGATGATGAGCAGCAGAAGCTGTTTCTGCTGTTTCTGCTGTTGTTGTACAAAGCCGCCGTACAACAGACAATTTTTTTAGCATCAGCAGCGGCAAAGCACGATGCGACCTTACGATGTAGTGTGGCGAGCAGACGCGCTCGCGCTCAATTGTCTGTTGCTCGTTTGTACTCTCTCACTATTTCTTTCTCTGTATAAAAAACTGACCGATGAAGTGAAAGAGAGGGAGAATAGAGTGTACAGTGAATAGAGATAAGGGCGCCAATGTGCTCAAGCACTTGGGAGAAGACGTTCTCTCTCTCTCTCTTTCTGACGACATCTTTTAACTGTGCACCTTTTCCTTTTCCTTTTCCTTGCAAGCACTTACATTCACTCTCATCTGCTCACATCACTTGTTGTTGCTGCTGCTGCTGCTGTTTGGCAATTGCGTTAATTGCCGGTGAGAGTGGAGATTGTACGCAGGCAGACAAGCAAGCAAACACTGACTAACATATTCTCTCCCCTTTCAATTTGTGTGATAGATAGTCAGGCAGAAAACAATAGGCACAACTACTGTCCAGTGGGAAAGTTACCTGCTCAGACCTGTGCAGTAGTGCAACAGTTGCTCCCTTATTAATAGCTGCAGCAGCAGCAGTATTAATTTGGCCATTTTATTTTCAATTATGGTGGTGGGTGATCGTCGTTGAAAGAAGAAGAAGAAGAAGATGGGCAGGATGATGATGAAGATGAGCACTAAATGAAAAATGATGAATGCTGAATTATGTTGTTGATGTTGTTTGTGCTGCTACTGAATTACTCTCTGTCTGTTTTTTGACCAAGGATGCTGCTACTGTTGAAAAATGATTCTACCCTCTTCTCTTAGCTGGAACTCCTTTTTTCTATTAGTACATTTCTGCTTGTTCGTCTGTGTGTGAATGCCTCATCACAAATGCCTAAAACTGCTTGAAAAATGGCACAGGAAGTGGAATGCTACAAACTAATTGTTTGTTTTTTTCAATTCTAAAATTCATTCGCCATTTGACCAACTGACAACAACAACAAAAGTGTAGCAAATCTATCACCAAACGTGCAAACTAAATGTACTCGGACCAGACCTAGTACATTTTGTTGAGTAGGTACTCAGTAANCAGCTGGAACTCCTTTTTTCTATTAGTACATTTCTGCTTGTTTGTCTGGTTGTGAATGCCTCATCACAAATGCCTAAAACTGCTTGAAAAATGGCACAGGAAGTGAAATGCTAAAAACTAATTGTTTGTTTTTTCCAATTCTAAAATTCATTCGCCATTTGACCAACTGACAACAGCAACAGAAGTGTAGCAAATCTAATTCCTTCAAATCTTTCTTCCGCAAAGAAAAACATTGCAACAACAAAAACATCACAACGGCTACCAATCAAAACAAGGAAGAGAGTTTGTAGTGAAGGGGTTATAATTCAATTACATTAATGATAGACATGCTGGCAAGTGTTTGGGGGGCAGTAATTGAAGGAGGTAATTGGAGGCGGCAATGTTAAACAGTCCGATTTGGTCGGACTGTGCTGATCCGATTAACGTGATGCGGCTGATGATTATGTTTGAGAGATTATGCTGCAATGGCAACAGAAGGGTGATGGGCTCACAGTGATGGCAACAGTGCTAGTCAATAATAACCGGATTCTGATCGGCAGTGTAGGCATCTCTCAATCAAAAGAGCTGTCACTGTTGATGGTAATGGCGATGATAAAGAAGGAAAATGCGAATGATGATGATGATGATGACGGTAATGATGAGGGCATCATGAGCAGCATCAGCAGTAATGATCAGAAGACACTCACATGTGCCTTCGACCTGCTGAAAAAATATCAAAATAGCAGAGAATATTCATGCCAAGTTCTGCGTGTATCAAGTTACCAGCCTTTTTTGAGTAACGGTTGCCTAAACAGGTTCAATTAGAGAGGGGGGTAGTTTACAAAAAAAAAGAAAGAAACCTTCACTTCCGCCTCACAGTCAAGTGCGAGAAACGCGCAGACAAAACACAAAGCGAGAAATGCAAATGAAAGGAGAGAGGGGGAGAAAACAGATTTGCGTAAGAGTGTTCAAAGGGTGCACCCTTAAGTGGTAGAAGTGAAGAAGGGGTGCAAGCCTCTCTTTCTCTCTTTATTTCTCGCTTACCTTCTTGCTTACCTCCTTCAACAGCCGCAACAGCTGCTGACAGGACAATCGAACTTGTGCTTTCTCGCTTTTCACTGCCGCCGCTTATGTGTTATCTAACTTCTGCTGATTTTTGTTGACACGGGTTTTAACTGTCTTTTTTTCGTTTGCTTCTTTCTTTCTTTACCAGTCACCCTCACACATGACCGTTCAACGGGGCTCGCAACGTTGTAGCAGTAGTAGTTTTAGTCATCACCGTCACCACCTGATAGTCCAATGGACGGGCTTATGATGGTGGCTAGCAGCACATCAGCACCATCATCCACAATACCATTGAGTAAAAAAACGATGGAATTCGAAGAAACGGAAATGGAGTCAGAGGGAAAAGCGGAGTATTTTCCTGCTCAAAGAAAACGAAAATCAACACTACCTGGCTCAAATCAAACCTGGCCAGCTCAACATGGCCACTGCAATACTTCAGAAGTCAGCAAAGCAGCAGATATTCAACATAGGCACAGAATATTCAGCAGCAGCAGCAGCAGCAAAACGAGGTTACTCAGGTTCTGCCCACCTCTGCCCACCACAAATGCACCTTTCGACTTCAAAATGATACTCTTTCTGGTCACGCTTGTCCTCCTGCCGTTGCTGGTAAACTCGGCGCCCTTTCACTCGTACGGCCGTTTTCGCTCGCCAAAAGATAAAGGTAGGTTATAAAAATTGAAAGTTAATCAAGATTAAAAAATACTGTCCCTTTTTTAATTTAGGCTGCTACTACCTGCTGAAGCACTACAACAACGGCGACCAGGTGGTGACCAATGAGCCCTGTCTCAACTGCACCTGCACCAACAGCATGCTCATGTGCTACCTGCGCGTGTGTCCCTTTGTGAAACCGCTCGGCGAGAAGTGCATCATCGAGAAGGAGGACGGCGAGTGCTGTCCACGGATTACCTGTCCCGATGGTAAGGGCTTTTTAAGTTTAGGGTCTCAAACTCAACAAATAAAAAAACTAACATCTTTTCTTTAGATTTCGCCGAGCCAGAGACGACGACGACCGAGNCGATGGTAAGGGCTTTTTAAGTTTAGGGTCTCAAACTCAACAAATAAAAAAACTAACATCTTTTCTTTAGATTTCGCCGAGCCAGAGACGACGACGACCGAGGAGCCCACAACGACGACGACCACAACGACTACCGAGTCAACACCGGTGGCCGCTGCCGTTGGCGATGGCTGCTTCCTCGACGGTCGCTTCTACGAGGAAGGCGCCCAGATACCCTCCGAGGCGGACAAGCCCTGCGAGCTGTGCTACTGCATCCAAAACCGGAGCACCTGCGTCCTGCAGGAGTGCCAGCTGAAGGGCGTCACCGGCTGTGAGCCGATCTACACCAGGAACACCTGCTGTCCAGTCAAGTACAATTGCTGTGAGTGCTGCGAGTGTTGATTCAAAAACAAAATTTAGGTTTTTAACAAACAACAATTTTTTTTCTTGCAGCAACCGACTTTGCGAAGGAGACCGAGGCGACCACCAGG